ATGTCATCCTTCCTGTTCTTTCCCTCTGTCTCCAACTTTGCTCGTGATTTCTTAAAAATGTATGCGTAAGGCAGCCAAGAGGTAAGAATGATCAGGTATACATTCAATGATCCTATTTTTGCAAAATAATATTAAACACAAAATAAAGACCATCACTGAATAGCAGAGGACATACCAAAAGTGAAGTACCCCAAGCCCTGACTGCCACGTTTTTAAAGTTGTATTTTGCTTATTCACTAAATCACAAGTGGCAGTTCGACGAAAAGAAGGTAAGGTATAAGCCATGACAGACCAACTACAATGCATGGGTTCAGACATCACACTAAACCAAAACTGAACAAGCCATAGGATGACTTAAGAAAAATCAGGCTTGTGTTATTCTAAGCACTGATCAGCAATTGACTGTGGTTGTGCAGAAAATTAAGACAGAAATAGACAAATGACATTACAGTTTAATGTAATGTGTGCACCCAGTTTCAGAATAGGATAGACTGCTTTCAACCTGAGATTTTGGACAGCTGTTGCCTAATCATAATGGACAATACCCAACTGGTTAGACCACTAACCTACATGGCAGCTTCACCCACCCATGGAGAGGGCAACTAAAATATCATTTTAACTGATTAATGGCGTTGGTGTATCTAGTATTCCCCAAAGTCTTTTGACTCAATCTTCATTATGGCAACACCAAAGATATAAATGACATCATTTGTGTTATTTTATGACATCTGTGTAATGACATCATTACATAAAGGACATAAAGGATACCAATGACATCATTCGCATCCTTTTGCACAATGACAGCATTACACAGAGAACACGAATCGCAATGGAATTTCCTCCACCGTGTGCAAATGCTGTTCAGCTGAGGTCCAGAAAACCAAGGTTGCCCTGTATTTACTCCAAAAAAAAAAAAAAAAAAAGCTCTGGTATTGACTGGACAACTTTGCTTCTTCACCAAGGAAAATAATAGTCCAATATGCTCACTACTCTAGGAGGCTTTGGTGTGTGTCAAGAAAGCAAGGCAGTTAACATTTGTAATACCCATGGGGTCCTAGACTCTCATTATGAAATTCTAAAATTAGCCCTGTTGATTCTCAATGCTCAAGCACACTGGAGCTGTCACGCCATCTCCTGCTGCTAAAATAATCTCTTATTAGGTCATAAGAAGAGCCCTGTAGGATCAGACCTGTTTAATCCCATATCCAGCCAGCACAAGAGCCACAGGGAGGGAGGAGACCACAACCAAGAACGGGCCACAAAGAACCTTGTCTTTCATGTCCCCACTGGCAATGAAGGCCTTAACAATTCCTACTGCTGGAAACAAAATACAGTGTTCTTGATTACAAGTTACTGCTGGTTTTATCTTCCACCGACTGGTCTAATCCCCTTCAAGCCATCAAATATTATCATGACCATTGCATCTTGACATAGCAAATTCCCTAGGGTAAATATGTGCTGTGTGGAAATGGGCAACCTTTCACATAACCTCAAATCTCCAGCCATTTAGCTTCATTTTCTCCAAATGCACCATCATTTTATTTATGCCTTCAGTATACTTCTTCTGCCTCTACAGAACTGTTCTTTGAGCTGTAGTGACCACAACACCCATCTGTACAAAAGCCCTAGGATACTGGTATTATGTTTGCCAATGTGATCCTCACTACGGTTTGCCTCTTTTCACCACATAGTCCAGTGCTCCTGTCTTGATCTGAAGGCATTTGGTCTTCACCGTTTAAACATCTGATATCTCTAACATGTGCATTTTTCCCAACGACATTTGGTTTTCTTGACTATCATGGTCACTGTGCATTCACAGTTTACTTCTAAGACCTGTCTCCAATCAGACAGACAAAACAATCTGGGGAAGAGCCTTCCAAACCAGACGTCCCCAGTTCCTATCAGCTTTTCCACATCATTTTAACATCTGCTCTGCAACTTCATTGAAGTTAACTGTCGTCTACTGGGTTCCAGCCCATCCTTTTTCTCTTCTTTTCAAAACTGCTCTAGCCTTTCTCAAAATGTTCCTTGGCCCCTAACAAATGGCACTCCCAGTCTTTCCTGTATCACTGGCTCTTCCAAACCACTCAGCTTCCATTCAGAGTGGATTTCAGAGAAAGGGTCCTAGGTTATTCTAGATTTCAACTTCCCATACTGCAATCTGAATTTGAACTCCAGGACCTGTTGATTATATTTCCCCATGCCAACAGTGTCTCAAGGAAGGCTAGAAAAGCTGTTTCTAAGATGAAATGGTGAGAAGGTGAGGAAGCAGAATACACAACAGCTATAGACAGGGTAGTAGCTGATAATGCACTTCTGTGAATAACTTAAATTGGAATTATCCTAAGGCAGGATATTGAAATGTCCAATTTCCTTCAATCACAGTGTTGAAGAACAAACTGGAGTAGGTTCAGCTTTCTGTACATTTACACACACATACATACACACCCAAAGCTCCAACTATTTAAATTCCTATTTTTATCCAGCTGTTAATGACTCAAGTTCCCACCTTTTCATGCAACCTATCCACCTTCTTTAATATTTCACCAAGTTGCCCTATTTTGGGCCAAACAGAAATTTCCCAGCTAGTGATGAGCATAGAAATTGGGTTTCAAACAGAAGGTGGGAGGCTCCTTTTCTTGCTTTAGTTTGTTATTCATTTGAATATTTTGCAGCTTAGATTTGCTCTGAAACTAGTTTATTGCTAAATGTACCAGTTCTGTTTCCAATACGCTAAAACTTGCATTGTAGAAACTGCAAATGCCCCCAATTTTGATATTATGCATCCTAGTACTGTAACCAACTCCACATCTGTGTGTCTCCCACCAAAAATCTCTTTCTCAGAAATCAGTGATTCTCCAAAAAGACTGGAACTTTGTAAACATCTGTTGGCCTACTGTCCTGAAAATGGCACCAGACACAGGAAGAATGACACAGCAACTGGGCTGAAAGTTGTATTAGAAGAGGAAAAAAACTATGTACCTTAACAGTGTCCTGGTCAATATCAACTTAGCTTTTAGTGAGGGGTAATCAATTTCCAACATTTCAACCTGAAACAAACAGGCCACTTTCTGAATTTATTTCAAGTAGCCTTCATTGGTGTCACTCAAAGAATTTGGCACTGGCAGAGGATTTAAAAAAACACACGCACACACACGAGACAATTGACTCTAATTCTACTCCACAAAAACGTATCATTAAAATGAAGTGTGGCTCTTAAACGCCATACATTGATTTATTATAGGCCTGAGCCAATTTCACAGTTCCAATGACATCACCGCTTCTCTCCACTGCCTGGTGCTGTGACTTCAGGACCGTGAAGCTGTGAAAATTGAAGGGGGAGGAAGCAGGGAGGCCTCTCACCCACGTTTAAACACACTACATATACCAGTCAGGGTCAGAATAAGAAGATTAGCGATTATCCTGGGAGATCCATTCTTGAAATTCCCTACTGTTTTTAGCACAGAAACAAGGTTAATGAGGTTCATGACACCAAAAGCCCTAAAAAAGAATAACCCTTTTAAACCCTGCATTGCAGATAAAGCAGTGGTGGTGATAAATAGAAATGATGGGCCATTACAGGAGTGCTGAAATCTCTCACGGACTCAGAAAATGCTGCACAAGGGAGATCTATAACTACAGTGCCAGCCCTGTTTCGGGCATTAAGGATCGTTTGGCTGTTAACTACTTTCACGGCAGCAACCATTTCTACTTAAAAGCCACAGCAATAAGTTTGTCACTACTTAATAACAAATTATTATTTTTTTTATGGCTGGGGATAAAACAACCAGAATTACATTACTCCAATCTAACAGTATGCATGCAGCTGTGGCAGGAAACCTCACATTCCAATAAATTAAGTTCAGAATTATTATTATTATTATTATTATTATTTTATTTTATTATTTGGTTTGCTTGTTCAGGTTTGCAGAAGGTACCACAGAAAAGATGTTGTGCTCCTGAAAGACAAGCACGAACAGTATATATGCTTTCAAAGAAGACATTCCCACTAAACACACATAGATCAACCTAGTTCCAATCTGGCTCCAATTTAATCCAGATCAGGTAATTCAGAGTCACTTTTTCTTTCATTCCCACCTAATAGTGAACACCACAGTCCAGTTCAAAACGCAATGTCCTGGTTCATACAGAAGGCTAAGTTAGAAGGGATTTTGTCTGCTTTTCGTTTAGCGTGATACATTAATTCACCCATCATGGTTTAAAGATATGTATGAACAGGCTCTGCAGTTTGATCGACACACCATGGCTTTACTTAAATCCTTAAATCCTACTTTAGTATTATGGGTAGATCCAGCCTAAGTTTGATTGGTATACAACGGAAAGACAGAATTGTTCTGATGAATTTGGCCTCATCTGGGAAAACAGCAGACCAGCATGGCCGTCCTGACTCTTCCATTTTGCTTCCTGGATTTACACCTAATACATCCAGAATGCCTACATCTACAGGCCATATTACTCAAACCTGAACTCTTGCTTCTCTCCAAATAAACCAGGCTCAGAAATCAGGAACAAACCACAACTCTGGGTTGCAGGTCATCACAAAAGATAAATGAGCCCTAAAACCTAGCTGATCTACTGAGGCATTAGTATCAGGAGCTAGAGCAAACTTTACCCAAACTAAAGTTTTTTTAAGCAAAACTTTAGTTTCCATGAGTGGTAAGATTCCCCATGTTTACTCTGATTTTTTAAAGATTTCCATTATATTGCAAGCCACCGTAACTCTTGGTTTAAATTTTAATTCCTTAAGTGCCTTTTAGATCTAGAAATCCTGTCTACAATCCACAGCAGCAGCAACACCCATATGCTCTGCCTCCCTTAACTTGGTTAGGAATTGTAGCTGGAAAATTCACCTCCTGAAACAGCTTGTCAATTCCGTTCTACTGTCTGGACCACAAACTATCATGAGAACTAATCAGGCTGGTGCCAGGAGACAGGAGAAGAATTCTAGCTGCAGACTAAGCTCTCAGCCACAGACTTACCCCGCAACGACCACTCCGTCGCAAGAATGCACATCGCACAGAATGTTCCCGACTTCGTGCTGCAGCTGCCTCATAGCCCCCACGCGGTTCTGCAGAGCAAGACAAGGAAAAGCTGTGAGTTTGGTCCAGTCCCTCAGGACCCCGACAAACCTGCCTCCCTAGAAGGACCGTGGCTTTTGACATTCACGTTGAATCCCAGCATCTCCAGATGTTGCTGGGAAAGGCTCCCATTTGAAAACCTGGGGGACTAGTAGCTGGATAAGACAACCTTAAGATGGTTGGACTAGTTTCTGATGCTCCTCCATTCTATTATTATTATTATGGTTGGTCACACACTCAGCCAGATGTGTAGACTGGATCTGGCATTTTTGTCCACCTATCGAGTCCTTCCCAAGGACCTGGGATAGGCAGATGTTGTTGGCTGATAGTGTTAAAGGTGTTGTCGCAGGATGGAAGCTGTTCCAAGTCAAGCTGCCTTTTGCAATGGTCTGATGGTGATTTTGTCAGTGCCGATGGCCTTCAAGGGGTGCTCCAGATGTTTTGGGATTGCACCCAAGGCACCTATAACTATTGGTACTATCTTTGCTTTCTTTTGCCATAGCCATTCTACTTCTCTTTGCAGGTCTTTATATTTTGCAAATTATTGTTATTATTATAATGCTTGGTTGCACAGTCAGCCAGATGTTTAGACTGGATTTGGCATTTTTATCCACCTATC